TTCGCGTCCCGGGAGGGGGACGGGGAGGTGCGGATTCAGCCTGTAATTCTAGGCCGGATCGCCCCTCCCTGCACGCTTGACCGAACCGCGAAGGACCCCGCCGAAACGGACCGCCGCTCACCGCCTGCGGCGTGTCATCGCGAGGCCCGAGAGGCCCAGCAACGCCGCCGAGCCGGGCGCCGGGATGATGTAGTCCACCTCGATGCGCGAGCCCTCGAGGATGGTCCCGGCGTACCCCGCGCCGGGCGTCGCCGCGCCGAAGAGGGTCGCCATGAACACGCCGTTGAATCGCTCGGTGGTCTCCGAGTAGTTGAACTCGCCCGTACCGCTCCACCCCTGGCCCGCCCCGTTGAGGAAGAAGACGTTGTCGTTGCCCGGGAAGGGGTTGATGGGCAGGGCGATGTCGGTCGCGAAGTTGGCCGCGTCGCCCGCGGTGACGTCCAGGTTCAGCACGATCCGCGTCTCGACGATCTCGCGCCCGACGATCGGGTCGCTCCCGAGCAGGATCGCGGTGTAGGAGATCCCGACCCCCGCGAAGTTGAAGACCCGGGTCTCGGTGGTCACCGGCGGGCCGGCATGGGCCGAGGCGGTGAGCAGGGCAACGGCGCTTGCCGCGGCGGCGGCGCGCAGGAACAGCGTGGAGCGTGTCATGGTTCGCTCTCCTCTTGAAAAGACGTGTGGCCCCGGGTGACGAACCCGCGGCGCTTCCTTCCGCGCAGGCCAACGGCCCGCGTCATGAAGAATGACGCGCGAACGGGTCGGTGTGCGTCTGATTTCAAATCAATTTTTTCGATGACGCTGCGGAAGAGCAGCGACCGACCGGCCGATCGCCTGTTCCGGGCTCTTGCGGCCTTCTGTGCGCTTAGCCGTACAGCTTAGAGGTGGTATCCACCAGCGCCCTCGCCACGCCCGCCACGGCCTCGTCGGTCTTTGCGTTCTTGAGCGAGCCGTCATCGTTGAACGCCTCGTGGGCGGCGCCCAGGGCGTGCTGGTTCGGGATGACGTGGACGCCGATGCTGCTGAACAGCGACCGGACGATCGGGAGCCCGCGGATGCCGCCCAGCGCACCGGGGGACGCGGCGAGCAGGGCGAGCGTCTTGCCGCGGATGCTCTCCAGAGCGGCGACGTCCCCGCGCGGGCGGGAGAGCCAGTCGACCGCGTTCTTGAGGGCGCCGGAGATGGAGGAGTTGTACTCGGGCGAGGCGATGAGTAGGGCGTCCGCCCAGTCGAAGTGCTCGCGGAGCTTTTCGAGCGACTCGGGCCACTCGCCCGCGGCCTCGAGGTCGCCGTCGTAGACGGCCATCGGGAAATCCTTGAGGCGGATGACCCGGACCTCGGCGCCGGCGGCTTCCGCGTGCTTCGCGCACGCGGCGACGAGTTTGTGGTTGAAGGAGTCTTTTCGGAGGGAGCCGGAGAAGGCGAGGATTTTGGGTGTGCTCATGGTGTCTGTGGGATGCCCCGGGTGCTGGTGTGGTTACGCGTTCGCAGTCGCCGCGCCCGGCATCGGGAACTGCGTGCAGAGCATCATGATCTCGGCGCGGACCTGGGCGATGAGGGGGCCGTCGCCCTTGCTCGAGAGGACCTTGTCGATCCACTCCGCGACCTTGGCCATCTCGGGCTCCTTGAAGCCTCGGGTGGTGAGGGCCGGGGTGCCCAGGCGGAGGCCGGAGGTGACGCGCGGGGGGCGGGGGTCCTGGGGGACGCCGTTTTTGTTGGTGATGATGCCGGCGTCCTCGAGCCACGCCTCGGCGTCCGCGCCGGTAAGTTCATCGTCTTTCGTGCGCAGATCGACGAGCATGAGGTGGTTGTCCGTCCCGCCGGAGGTGATGCGGTAGGAGCGGTCCTGGAGCTCTTTCGCGAGGGCTTTCGCGTTCTTGACGACCTGCTGCTGGTAGGCCTTGAACTCGGGCTTGAGGGCCTCGCCGAAGGCGACGGCCTTGGCGAGGATGACGTGCATGAGGGGACCGCCCTGCATGCCCGGGAAGACGGCGCGGTTGAGCTTTTTGTTGATCTCCTCGTCGTCGCAGAGGATGAGGCCGCCGCGGGGGCCGCGGAGGGTTTTGTGGGTGGTCGTGGTGACGACGTGGGCGTGGGGGAAGGGCGAGGGGTGCTCGCCCGTGGCGACGAGTCCGGCGATGTGGGCGATGTCGGCGTGGAGGATCGCGCCGCACTCGTCCGCGATTTCGCGGAACTTCTTGAAGTCGATCACGCGCGGGTACGCGGAGTAGCCGCACATGAGGAGCTTGGGCTTGTGCTCCATGCAGACTTCTCGAACTTTGTCGTAGTCGATCTGCTCGAACTGCGGGTGGCCCGCGTCGTAGTGGAGCGGGTAGTGCACCGGCTTGAACCACTTGCCGGACATGTTGACCTTGAGGCCGTGAGAGAGGTGGCCGCCGTCGGAGAGCTCGAGGGAGGCGATGGTGTCGCCCGGGTTGAGCAGGGCGAGGAAGACCGAGGCGTTCGCCTGCGCGCCGGAATGGGGCTGGACGTTCGCGTATTTGCACCCGAAGAGCCGCTTGGCGCGCTCGATGGCGACGGTCTCGACCTTGTCGTGGAACTCGCAGCCGCCGTAGTAGCGGGCGCCCGGGTAGCCCTCGGCGTACTTGTTCGTGAGGCAGGTGCCCATCGCGTGCATGACGGCCGGGGAGACGTGGTTCTCCGAGGCGATCAGCTCGAGGGTGGATTCCTGGCGCTCGGCCTCGTCGGCGAGGTGCTGGGCGAGCTCGGGGTCATGGCCCTTGAGGAGGTCGAGGACGGCGTCGGCGATGGGGTCGGACATGGATCGGGCTCCGGGATCTGGTGGGCTTTGGAGCATGATAGAGGAGGCGGGCGAGTGTGTCCGCGTCCCGAAGAACTGACTCTCAAATCGGACGGCCGCTCATGGGTAGAGCCAGATGTAATACGACTGAATGAGTGACTCGACCGTCTCCCATGGCGCCACCCATTCGATCATCGCACCGGCAAAGAGTGTCAGGAGCAGGTTGCCGACGGTCATGAGCCTGCGGTTCTGCTTCCCGAGATGGCGTCGGAAGAACGCGAACCAATACGCGGCGAGCCAGAACAGGGCGAGGAATGCAACGGGCCCTGTAAACCACGAGAACTGTGGCGGCCCGTTGGTCGGATAGACATTCGTGAAGAGCGCGCGCCCTAGGTAGTACACGCCATAGGCGGCGTAGGTCGCGGGTGTGATCGCGAAGATGATTGACGTGAGCCAAAGTGAGTAGATCCAGCCCCGGAACATCTCGCTCCAGCGGATCGAGTCCACGCGCCAGATCGCGAGCATCGTGCACGGGCAGATCAGCGCTCCGAGCACGACGATGCGGAGTGCGTTGCCGAATCCAGAGACGTGCAAGGTCCCGCCGATGAATGTGCTCACACTCTCCGCGGGGAATGTGCCGGCTATCACCAGCGCATATCTCCCGTGCGGCATGCCGGCGGGAATGACTTCGAGCAGTGCGACAAGATTCCAGAGAACGATAAAGCTGGCGTGCGCGATCAAGAAGGGCCAGAGCACGAACCACGCGATCCTGAACGGTCTGAACGGCACGCGCTCGGAAAACGCGCCCCAGAATCGCCAGGGCAGCGCGAGACGGAGCGTCTGGCGGATCGGCGCGAGCATCGACCAGCGCAGGCCTCGTGCTTCGATGTGCCACTTCGGCGCGTTTCGCTCGCCCTCGAACGCCTCGGTCCAGCGGTGCGCGCCCCCGCACTCCGGGCAGACGCCCTCCATCGGGCACGATTCACGCCACGTCGGGATCGGGCCCGAGAGATCGTAGCCGCAGCGTGGGCAGGTTGGGGTGTGGGCTTCGGGCATGCGGCGTCCTAGTACACGAGCGCTTCCAGCAGGTCCAGGATCGTGCTCATCAGCAGGTCCTCGAGGATCCACGCGGCCATGCCGGAGATGAGCAGGACGGTCGCGGTGACGTACGCCCAGTGTTTGAACCGGATGTAGTTGCGGAAGAAGGCGACCCAGAACACCGCGAGGTAGAGCGGGATCAGGACGCGGGCCCACGAGCCGAGGGGAAAGTACATGAGTTCCCGTTGCAGGGCGCTCAGGACGCGGGTGCCCCGCCAGACGCTGAGCGCGTAGAAGTGCTGCGCGAGGTACGCGACGGCGAAGAGTTGGAGCGGGGCGAGGGAGTAGAGCCAGCCCCGGGCCGCGTGGCGCCAGCGGAACCGCTCGAATCGGCGTGTGGCGTGCATGCCCAGGAGGCCGACGGGGACGCAGAGCGCCCAGAAGAAGAACACGCTCGGGGGGATCATCCAGAGGTAAAAAAACGGGCCGTCCCCCATCATGCTGCCGCTGAAGGTGGGGCCGATCCACGAGAATTCGGAGACGAGCTCAAGCGGGAGTTCTCGGAGGTGGGCGAGGAAGAAGTCGGCGGTGCGCGCGAAGTTTGCGCTCACGGTGCGCCGGAAGCGCAGCGCGTCGAGCGTCGGGAGCAGGAGCGCGACGAAGAGAAGCGGTCCGCCGCCGAGCAGAACGATCCGCGCGGGCCGGAAGCGCGTGGCGAGGCCGACGCGCGACCAGAAGCGGAACGGGTTGAGCAGAGCGAACGCCGTCTGCGCGAAGGTCCACGGGCGTTTGAACGCGCCGTCGGACTCGACGAGCCAGGGCGGGGCGAGCCGCTCTTCGTCGAAGACGTCGCCCCACCGATAGTCCAGCCCGCACTCGGTGCACACGCCGTCGATCGGGCACGAGTCGTGCCACGTCGGGACGGGGCCGGAGAGGTCGTAGCCGCAGCGCGGGCAGGATGGGGTCTGGCGGTCCGCCATCCTGCGAATGTACGGCGTGAGTCGCCGGGATCACAGGGGAATCGCGGCGCCTTGGGCGTTGTGCTGCGGTTTGGCTTGGGGTCTGAGGCGGGCGCTTTGGAGGATGAGACACCGCTTTGGCCCGCTCCCTCACGGTCGCGGTTGTTCCAGAGAACCCACCCCCGGGCCCTTGCAGCATTGAAGAAAAAAACCCACCCCCAACCCCTCCCTCCGGGAGGGGCGTTTTAGTCCCAGCCGTGGTCGCTCTTCGGGGAGTTCTCGTCGAAGGTGTGGTCGCCGTAGAAGTCCTCCGGGCCACGCGGGTCGACGGGTTGCCAGCGGACCCTTGAAGCGCCGAGGAGTGTTCCGGTGGCGAAGGCGAGGTCGACCTGGGAGATCTGGTAGTCGACGAGGGCGCGGATCTCGGCGATCTGCGCCTCGGCGAGGCGTGTCGCGGCGTCGAGGACTTCGGTGCTGGTGCGCGTGCCGGCCTCGAACTGGTTCTGCTCGCCCTGGAGGACGCGCTGGGAGAGGACGACGGTGCGCTGCGCGGCGACGATGCGCTGCCAGGTGGTCTCCATCGCGTCGAGCGTGTCGAGGACCTCGCGCGTGATGGCCTGCTCGCGGGCGTCCTTCGTGGCGAGACGCTGGAGGCGGGAGAGGATGGCGCGGTGGACGCGCGCCTCGGCGGCCTCGTTGCCGATGGGGACCTCGACGTTGAAACCGACGGAGTGGTCCTCGAACTCGAAGCGGCTCGCGAGGTCGAGGGCGCCGGTGTAGCCGGTGCCCAGTCCGTTGGAGCGGTAGGTGTAGTCGAGGGTGGCGAGGGGGAGGGCCTGGTTTTTCTGAAACTCGATGGTGGAGTAGTCCTGGGCGAGCCGGAGCTCGAGCTCGAGGAGCTCCATGCGCTGGGCGAGGGCGGCGTCGATCATGTGGTCCGCTTCGATGTTGTAGCGGACGGGGTCGGGGTCGGACGCGAGGACGATGAGGGTGTCCGAGTCCATCTCCAGGCCGTCGACGTTCATGATGCGCTTGATGTTGCGCTGGGCGGCCTGGTAGCTGTTCTGGGCGTTGATGATGGCGAAGATGCGCTGGGCGACGCCCTCTTCGGCGCGGACGACCTCGACCTCCGGGACGACGCGCGCGTTGAAGCGGCGCTTGGCGACGTCGAGCTGCGTGACGGCGAGCTGGTACTGCTCGTACGCGACGCGGAGGGCCTCCTGCGTGGCGTAGACGGTCCAGTAGGCGCGGTCGGCCTCGGCGAGCTGGCGGATGACCTCGAGCTTGGTGAACGCCTCGGTGATCTGCGCCTCGAGGGACTGGATGCGCAGTGCGTGGGTGTTCGTGCGCCGCCCCGCGTTGCGGAGCAGCGGCTGGACGATGGAGACGGAGACGTCCGTCTCCGTCGAGGTGGGGTTGGTGAAGATGTTGTCCGTCTCGGTGCGCGAGAAGGGGATGCTGACGTCGACGACGCCGCCCGTGCGGAGGGGGATGCGCAGGCCCAGGTCCGCGCCCTGGAACTCGACCTGGTTGCCGGAGAGGGTGGTCGCGGTGGGCTGGTCGGTGTTGGTGAAGCGGCCGCCGGCGAGGAAGGTCCACTCCCACGCGGCCTCTTCCTCTTCGACGCGGGTGTTGGCGATGACGGGGTCGACGAGGGTGACCTGGAGGTCGAGGTTGTTGCCGAGCGTCCAGGCGCGGGCCTGCTCGAGGGAGACAGGGATTTCTTCCAGGGCGAGGAAGGGGTTGACGGGCTCGGCGAGCTCGTCGGAACTCGTGGTGTCGTACATCGTGGCGTACTGGTCGATGTCGAAGCGTTCGATGGACTCGAGGCGCTGGCGGTCGACGCGGACGCCGCGGTCGGCTTCGGTGGTCGCGAAGGGGCTCGCGGCGCACCCGGCGAGCGCCGTGAGGGTGGCGAGAGCGGCGGTGCGTGCGGCGTGGGTGCTTCTCATCGGGTGTCCCTTCACGAGCGGTCCGTCCTCTTTGTTGGGCGGGGGCGAGGCGGCTTTCACGAACCGTGAGGGTACCGCAAGGAAAAGTCCGGTTCAGTCGTGGCGGAGCGCGTCGATGGGGTCGAGGCGCGCGGCTTTCACGGCGGGCCACATGCCGAAGACGATGCCGACGCCCGCGGAGAAGCTCAGCGCGAGGATCATCGCCCAGGCGGGGATCTCGGTCTCGCCGAGTTTGAAGAACGTCTGGAGCGAGATGCCGAGCGTGGTGAGCTGCCCGAGGACGAGGCCGATGACGCCGCCCGCCATGCAGAGGATGACGGCCTCGACGAGGAACTGGGTGAGGATGATGGCGGGGCGCGCGCCGACCGCCTTGCGCAGGCCGATCTCGCGCGTGCGCTCGCTCACGCTCACGAGCATGATGTTCATGATGCCCACGCCGCCGACGAGGAGCGAGATGCTGACGAGGATGCCGGCGCCGGCGGTCATCACGCCTGCGACGGTGTTGAAGCTCTCGATCTCCTTCGCGAGCAGGAAGATGCCGAAGGTGTCCGGCCAGTCCGGCGGGAGCTGGCGCTGGCGGCGCATGAGGTTGCGGATCTCGGCCTCGGTCTCGTCCGCGGTGTCGGGCGATTCCATGAGCATGACGATGTTCGGCCAGAAGCTGTCGTAGAGCCGGTACATCGTGTTGAAGGGGAGGAGGATCTCGGCTTCGGAGTCGTCCCCGCCGTCGAAGATGGTCGCTTCCTGGGTCTCGATGATGCCGACGATGAGGAAGCGGTGGCCGTTGAGGAAGATGTGCTCGCCGATGCCCCGGTTCTCGAGCCGGAACTCGTCGATCGCGCCCTGGTTGACGAGGCAGACGGGGAGCTGCTCCGCGTTGTCGGTGACGGTGAACTGGCGTCCCTCGATGACGAAGCGCTTCTCGATCTTGTGCCACTGGGGCTCGATGCCGCGGATGTCCACGCCGGCCTTCTGGATGCCGCCGTAGCGGACGGTGGCGGAGCGCCAGGTCTCGAGGGTGAGCTCGTCGAGGGTGCGCATGTTCTCGCGGAGCATCTGCGCCTCGGTGGGCGTGAGGCGGACGTCCGACCAGCTGATCTTGTCGCGGAGCTCGTCCGGGCGTCGGCCCCACATCACGACCTTGCGGCTGCCGCCGACCTTGTCGACCTCCTCGAGGACGATGTTCTTGAGCCCGCCGACGGCCGCGATGACCGCGACGATGGACCACACGCCGATGATGATGCCGAGCATCGTCAGGAAAGCCTGGACCTTGTTGCCGAGCATCTGGCGGAAGGCGAAGACGACGGTCTGGAAGATCATGCGGCTGAGGGGGGCGACGATGCGGAGCGGGTTCATGCGGTGGCCTCCTGCTGGAGGGCGCCGGCCTTGGAGCGGGCGACCTCGGCGTTGCGCGCGATGAACTCGCGGTGCATCGGGTCATCGTCGGTCGGGTGATCGCTCATGACCCGGCCGTCGCGGAGTCGGACGATGCGCTGGGCGTGCCCGGCGATCTCCTCCTCGTGGGTGACGACGATGATGGTCTGGCCCTCGTCGTGCAGCTCGTGGAAGAGCGCGAGGATCTCCTCGGACGTGGCGCTGTCGAGGTTCCCGGTGGGCTCGTCGGCGAGGATGATGCTGGGCCGGCAGACGAGGGCGCGGGCGACGGCGACGCGCTGGCGCTGGCCGCCGGACATCTGGTTGGGGCGGTGGCCCATGCGGTCGCCCAGGCCGACGCGCTCGAGGGCGCGCTTCGCCATGCGCTTGGACCCGGAGAAGTACTTGCTGGAGTACAGGAGCGAGAGCTGGACGTTGGCCAGAGCGGTGGCGCGGGGGAGGAGCTCGAACGTCTGGAAGACGAAGCCGATCTCCTCGTTGCGGATGCGCGCCAGCTCGCCCGCGCCCATTTTCTCGGTGTGCTTGCCGGAGAGCAGGTACTGGCCCGACGTCGGCCGGTCGAGACAGCCCAAAACATTCATGAGCGTGCTCTTGCCCGAGCCGGAGGAGCCCATGATCGCGACGAACTCGTTCTTCTGGACCTGCAGGCTGACGCCCGCGAGCGCGTGGACCGTCTCCGTGCCCATCCTGTAGGTCTTGCGGAGGTCACGGACTTCGATCGTCGGCACGCCGTGCATGGGTTCAGCTCGCGTTCGATGCTGTGGAAGCCTTGGCTTCCGGTTCCTCGTCCGCGAGCTGCGTGCCGTCCTCGCCCTCCCCTTCCTTCTCTTCGAGCTTCACGCCGGTGCCGTGACTCAGGGATTGCAACGCCCGGAAGGGCCCGACGATGATCTCGTCGCCCGGCTCGAGGCCCGCGCTGATCGCGGTGGAGCGGAGGTTGCTCGCCTCGACCTTCACGGGGCGGAGCTGGGCCTTGGAGTCCTTGTCGCGGACGAAGACGACCTGCGCGAAGGTCTTGTCCTTGTCGAGCACCTCGTCCTTCTCGCGGATGTCCTGCGGGAGGTCCTCGTAGCGCTTATCCAGCACCGCCTGCGAGGGGACGATGATGAGCCCGTCGAGCGTCTCCACCTCGATGTCCACGTTCGCCGTGAGACCCGCGAACATGCGCTGCTGCTCGAGGTGGAGGACGATCTCGGCGTCGAAGATGTTGGTGCCGTCGCTCCCGCCCCGGGACTGGAGGGACATCTTGCGGAGGGTGCCGCGGAACTCCTGGTCGGCGAAGCCGTTGATGGCGACGCGGACGGACTGGCCCTCCTGGATGCGGGCGACGTCGGTCTCGGGGATCTCGGCGTTGACGAGCATCTCGGAGAGGTCGGCGATGATGAGGATGACGGAGCCGGCGTTGGAGATGGTGCCCAGCGCGACCTCGCCCTCGCGGGAGTTCACCGTGGTGATCACGCCGTCGAGCGGGGAGGTGATGGTGGTGTAGCTGACGTTCTCCTCGGCCCGCTGGACCTCGGCGTTGGAGACGGCGACGCGAGCGCGCTGCGCCTCGACGCCCGCCTCGGCGCCCTTGAGGTTGGCGAGGCGGGACTGGTAGCTGGCTTCCTGCTGGTCCATATTGGCGCGGGCGGCGTCGAGGTCCTGCTGGCTCACGTCGCCGGACTCGAAGAGCATCTGGGAGCGCTCGAAGTCCGAGACGGCGCGGTCGCGCTGGGCCTTGAGCCCGGCGATGGCGCTCTTCTCCGCCTCGTAGCTCGCCTCGCTGGATCGGAGGGAGGCCTCGTCGGCCATCAGCCGCGCCTTGGCGGCCTCGAGGGCGGCCTCGAGGTCTTTGGAATCCAGGCGGACGACGACGTCGCCCTCCTTGACGATGTCGCCCGCCTCGTAGGGCAGCTCGATGATCTTGGCAGAGACGCGGGAGGTGATGTTCACCGAATTGCGCGCCCGGACCGCGCCCGGGGCGCTGACGACGCGGACGAGCTCGTCGTAATCGGCGCTGGAGGTCTGGACGATGGTGCCGGCCTGGGCCTCCTGGTTGGCCTTGACCTTCGCGATGATCACCGGGGCCATGAAGGCGCCGATGCAGACCGCGAGCAGCACGCCGGCGCCGATGAAGACGCAGAGGAACTTGATGATCTTGAAGATGGTTCCGGCCACGGTCGGCTCCTCACGGGGGGCGGGGGAGGGGGGAGGGGAGTCGGGGAAATCTCGTCTCGATCCGTCGCGGATTGCGTGCCGACGGTTCGGTCCTTCTCTGTGTCTCTCGCCGATCCTCCCACGATCCGGAGAACGGGCCTCCGGACGGTCCGAGCGTGCTCCACGGCCCGATGAGTGGGCGGGGGGTCGGGTCGTGTATGGTACCGCACGCCGGTCGCCCGGCATCAGGTGTTATGGGAAACCCACGGGGGCGGTTTCGGGCGACTCCGCCGTTTCGATTCGAGCAACGCATGGGCCAGCGCGAGATTCAGGACACGTGGTTCAAACAGGCGAAGGACCGGGGGTACGTTGCGCGCAGCGCGTTCAAGCTGGTGCACATCCAGGAATCGAAGAAAATCCTTCGTAAAGGGTGGCATGTGCTCGATTTAGGGTGCGCCCCCGGCGGATGGCTCCAGGCGGGGAGCGAGATCGTGGGGCCCAGGGGCTCGGTGGCGGGCGTGGACCTCAAGCCAATCAGCAGGGCGATGCCGAAAAACACGCGGTCGATCGTCGGAGACGTCTTCGAGCTGACGGACGAGACGCTCGACGAGCTCGGCGCGCCCTTCGACGCGGTCCTCTCGGACATGGCGCCGGACACGACGGGTCACGGGGACGCGGAGCTGAGCGTACGCCTGTGCCGGCGCGTGCTCGAGCTGCTCCCCCGGGCGCTGAAGCCGGGTGGGAGCATGGCGATCAAGGTGCTCGAGGGCGGTGAGTACGCCGATCTGCTGCGCGAGTGCCAGGCGCAGTTCAAGACGTGCAAGGGGTTCAAGCCGAAGGCGTCGCGCGGGGAGTCTCGGGAGATGTACGTGGTGGGGACGGGGTACCGGGGCGGCTGACGCTCAGGGGCAGGGGCCGAAGAGGAAGAGGGTGGCGACGAGGTCGTCGAAATCGACGGCGCCAGAGCCGTCCGCGTCGCACGCCTCGACCAGATGGACCGGTCCGAACTCGAACAGCATGAGCACGAGATCGTTGAACGTGATGTTCCCGTCCAGGTCGCAGTCGCTCGCGCATGTCGGAGAAAAGAGGACGACCTGGCCGGGGTTCAGCGACATATTCCTGTTCCCGCACGCCGCCACATCGCCATCGAGCGCGACGGCGTTGGCGAAGCGATCAAATCGGAACGACAGGTCGGGTCTCAGCTCCTTGAGTTGACGGCCCGTTTCGATTTCGAAGATGTAGGCCGAGCCCCGGTTGTCGTGTTCCTCGCCGTTGTCGCGCGAGGGCGCGCCGACGAGGGCGTACGGCGGCGAGATCGCGACGTCGAGGCCGGTGCCCTGCGCGGGCTCCGGGTCCTGCGGGAACAGCTGATGCAGGAGTTGCCCGGTCTGCGCATCGAAGACATACGCCGAGCCGCATGTGGCGCCGATGGACGGATCGAATGTTCGCCGAGCGCCGACGATGATCACACCGTCGCGGATGTCGACCGACGTGCCGAACTCCTCGAACGTCGCCGATGAAGGGAGCAGCGTGTGCAGCAAGTCGCCGGTCGTCGCGTCGAACACGAACGCGGCCCCGGCGTCTTCGGCCAGCGAGCCCTGCCCCTCGGCACCAACGACCACGAGATTCCCGTCGATCGCGACCGATCCCCCGAATCGCGCGAATTCGTCGAGTCCTTCCACGGAGAGCTTGAGGAGCTCGACCTCGTTCTCCACATCGAACACGTAGGCCGCCCCGGTGCTCACGCCGTCCACGAATGCCTGGCTCGCGCCGACGACCGCGAGGTTTCCGGAGATGCCGACGGACCTCCCGAAGCCCTGGTTGGTCCCACCGTCCGAAGCGACGAGCTTCGCGCGGCGGGCGCCGTTGTTGGTGTTGAAGATGTACGCCGCCCCGGAGCCGTCTCCGAGCTGATTCTCACCGGGCGTCCCGACGATGCAACGGCTTCCTGAAATCGCGACCGATCGGCCGAAGAAACCGCGCCCGTTCTGCGGGGGCTCGAGGATGTGCACCTCTACGCCGTCCGAAACGCGGTAGATGTACGCCACGTCCTCGCCCCACGCGCCCACCAGGAGCCGGTCGCCCGAGAGATCGACGCTCTGCCCGAAGTGGTCCTCGCTCTCGCTGAGCGACGGCACGATGAGGCGATCCTGCGAAGCGGGCTGCGCCGCGACGCTCGAGCAGCAGGCGCCGAGCGCTCCGATCGCCAGTGTCCGTGCGATCCGTCTCATGGGTGTCACCTCGTTGTGCGTGTTCGAATTTTCGTGTCGCCGCATCGTTTCAAACATATTCGATCGCAAGTAATTCGCAAACGATTTGCACGGAAAGAGCGTGATCTCACGCAATTTCTGTATACATATTAAGGACGCCCGCCCTACATTTCTGTAGGGCGGGCGATTCGGTCGGCGTTGACGATAAGCCGAGTTCTGTCGACGCCCTCCCGGGGGAAGGCGTCGGGCGACCATTTCTCTGGGCCCACCGTTGCCGATGAGCTCGAGCGTTCAACCCGCCGACTGCCGCCCGGACCGGGCGTCGCCCCGGGGGGCGCGTCGGCTGCTTGATCTTGCACGGGAACGAGCGTTGAGAGCCCGGCGGTCGCCCGCCGGCTGGTGCGCTCTTACCGCACCATCTCACCCTTGCCTGTGCCCGCCCCGAAAGGGCGGGCCATCGGCGGTTTGTTTCTTCTCTCGGCTCCCGGCGCGACCACACGCCGGGTGGGCCGTTAGCCCACAGCCCTGTCCTGTCGTGCTCGGACTTTCCTCCCCGGGTGACGAGTCACCCGGAGCGGCCGCCTGTCAACGCACTGGGATCATTTTACATCGGATCGGCGCGGGGTCCTCTGAATCGCCGAGGTTCCGGCCAGATCCCTATCATGCACGGCCCATGTCCGAGTCCCCCGCCGCCATCGTCTGGTGCGAGCCCTCGCACGCCTCGTTCGCGCAGGAGCTGTGCGACGCGCTGGGCGTGCGCGTGATCGCGGCGGGCACGCCGGCGGGCAACGGGGTGGGCGAGGCGTTCGCGGGGGCGAACAAGATCGACGACATCCGCCACGCGCTGCTCTCGACGGACGCGGACCTGGCGCTGCTCGCGAGCTCGAGGACGAGCCCGGACGAATCGGCCGGGGCGCTGCTGGACGACGCCGAGCACCTGCGCGACGCGCGCAAACGCATCCGCACGATCGTCACCACGTGCCCCGCGCCGGGTCGCGTGGAGCTCGCGCCGCTCCCGGGGGAGACGGACCGGTTCCCGGCGCGGTTCGTCCCGCGGTTCAACACGCTCGCGTCCTTCTCCGACGCGCGGGACGCGCTCGAGACGTTCGAATCCGTCCGCTCGGTGAGTTTCGCCTCGCGGTGCGCGCCGGCGCACGGGGCTCTCGGCGCCCGGCTTCTCGACGCGATGCTGACCGTCCATTCCGTGCTCGGCGTGCCCGAGCGGATCGACGCGGCGGTGATCACACCCCAGCAGTCCGCCGGGATCCACCGCGCCTCGCCGGAGACGCTCGCGGAGCTGTGCGGCGACCTCACGGCGAATCTGCGCTACGCTGGGCCGAGGGCGGCGAGCGTGACGCTCTCGGACCGCGGCGGGCGGTGGTTCCGCGGCGCGGCGCTGATCGGGGACCACGGGTGCGTGCGGATCGACGACGATTCGTTCGAGCGGATCGACGAGAACGGGGCGACGGTGGACGCGACCACTCAGCCCGCCCCCCCGGCGAACGGCGATGCCTCGATCGACCCGGCGGTGCGAGTGATGGCCCGGCAGATCGCCGGGGCGATGGACCCGCGGACGCCCCTGCCGCCCCAGCAGGACCTGCGGGAGGTGCTCGCGATGTGCCACGCGTCGATCCTCAGCGCCCGCACGGGCGAGCCCGAGGCGCCGTCGACGATCCTGCGTTTGGCGAAGGCGGTCTGACGCTCAGGCGTTGGAGTCCGCGAAGGACGCGTAATCGAAATCCTTCTCGGTGATGCCGCCGGCGTCGTGCGTCGAGAGGGTGAGCGTCACCTTGTTGTAGCGGATGAGGATGTCCGGGTGATGCTGGACGGATTCGGCGTGGTCCGCCATCGTCTTGACGAAGTGCATCGACGCGACGAAATCGTCGAACTGGAAGGTTTTCTGGATCGAGTCGTTGACGCAGGTCCAGTCGTCGACGTCGCCCAGGCGCTTCTCGATCTCGGATTCGGTGAGTTTGTCCAACGCGAAGCCTCCCTGAGCGGGTCCGTGTGAGGGCGTGCGCCCCGGCGCACTGACGGTATCTTCGGTGCCGCGATGGCCGCGTCAAGTCCGCATCCCGAACCGATCACGCCGAAAACCCGCCTGGCGCCGTCGCCAACCGGGGCGCTGCACCTTGGAAATTGCCGCACATTCATCGTGAACGCCGCGCTGGCGCGCCAGCGCGGGTGGCGCGTGGTGATGCGGATCGAGGACTTGGACGGCCCGCGCATCAAGGCGGGGTCCGTTGAACAGACGCTCGACGTGCTCTCGTGGCTCGGGCTGTGGTGGGACGAGGGGCCGACGGTGCAGTCCGACGATCTCGCGCCGTACGAGCGCGCCATGGCGGGCCTCGCGTCGCGCGGGCTCGCGTACCCGTGCGACCTGACGCGGAAAGAGATCGAGGAGGCCGCGAGCGCGCCGCACGCGGATTCGGGGGAATCCGTCTTCCCGATCGAGCTGCGGCCGGGGATGATGCCGCGCGAGTTCGACGACCGCGAGACGAACTGGCGCTTCGCGCTCCCCGACGAGACGGTCGAATTCACGGACGCCTTCGCGGGGGCGCAGTCGCACGCGCCGGCGCGCACGGTGGGCGATTTCCCGATCTGGACGAAACGCGGCACACCGAGCTACCAACTCGCGGTGGTGGTGGACGACGCGGCGCAGGGGGTGACGCACGTGGTGCGGGGGGACGATTTGCTCGACTCGACGGCGCGTCAGGTCCTGCTCGGGCGGGCGCTGGGGCTGCCGCCGATCCGTGAGTACACGCACCTGCCGCTCGTGATCGGGGCCGACGGCAAGCGCCTGGCGAAGCGCCACGGGGACACGCGTCTTGTGACCTACCGCGAGCGGGGCGTGGCGGCGGAGCGGGTCATCGGGCTGCTCGCGTTCTGGTCGGGCGTGACGGCGGAGCGGGAGGCGATGGGCCTGGACGAGTTCTGCGAGCGGTTCGACCTCGCTAGGATGAACCCCGGACCCACCGTATTCACCTCGGAGGACGAGTCGTGGCTCATCTCCTGACACGCGCCGCGTTTTTGAAACTCCTCGCCCTCGCCACGCTCGCGTCGACGCTCGCGCTGCTCGGCGGCTGCGACGACGAGGCGATCGGCGACACGATCAAGGTGACGATCAAGGGCGAGACGTTCACGCTCGAGACGGCGCTGGACGACCCGACGCGCGTGAAGGGGCTCTCGGAGCGCGAGTCGATCGACGAGCACGGGGGGATGATCTTCGTCTTCAAGACGTCCGAGTCGCGCTACTTCCACATGCGGAACTGCCTGTGCGACATGGACATCGCGTTCCTCGACGACGCGGGCCGCGTCACGGCGATCTACACGATGACCGAGGAGCCGCCCAAACGCGAGGGCGAGACCGAGACGCAGTACGTGATGCGGCTCAAGCGGTACCCCAGCCGGTTCCCGGCCGTGGGGGCCATCGAGCTGCGAGCCGGGAAGTTCGCGGACCTTGGGGTCGAAGTGGGCGACGTGATCGACGTTGACCTCAAGCGGCTCAAGGCGGCGGCGCAGTGAGTCGATACGTCGGGGAGTGAGGCCGGGACGCGCACACGGCGCCGAATCGAACGTCTCACGGGGAGCCGCGAGACGTGCCCGCCACGACGACCAAGACCGGGTCCGAGACCGTCACGATCCTCACGGACCGCCAGCCGGAGCTCGTGCACGCGGGGCTGTGGCGGAAGATCGTCGACGCTTGGCCGGGGTACTCCACGCCGCCCATCGCCTCGATCATCCCGCCGGAGGAGGCGCTCGAGGCCGAGCTGCCCAAGACGGCGGTGCTCATCGAGGACTCCGAATCGATCAACCGGGCGACGCTCCAGCTCATCGACCGCGCCCGCGGCGCGATGATTCCCGTGATCGCGCTGTGCGAATCGAGCGAGCGCGGACGCGCCCTCGAGGACGGAGCCGAGGTCATCACCCTCGACGTGCGCACGCCGCCCGAGTTGCTCGCGACGACCATCGCCGCGATGACCAGGCGCCAGCCCGCGGTCAACGCGCTGCGTGACGAGGTGCGCGTGCTCCACCGCTTCCACACCGGCGTGCGCGGGGAGATCGAGAAGATCAACGAGGAGATGCAGCTCGCCGCGACCGTGCAGCGCGAGTTCCTGCCCTCCGAGCTGCCCACGAGCGACGGGTTCGATTTCGCGGCGCTGTTCCGCCCCTGCGGGAGCGTCTCGGGTGACATCTACGACCTCCGGCGCATCGACGAGCGGAACGTCTGCCTGCTCATCGCGGACGCGGTCGGCCACGGGGTGCCCGCGGCGCTGATGACGATGGTCATCGCCAAGAGCGTCGTCCACGCGATCAACCAGCTCACGCTGGGCGGCGGGGTCGACCCCGCGGTCGTCCTCGCGGAGCTGAACAAGGACCTCTCCGGTCGCGGGCTCGAATCGCCCCGGTTCGCGACGGCGGTGTGCGGCGTGCTCGACACGTACACGAACACGGTGACCCTCGCGAGCGCGGGGCACCCGCACCCGCTGATCGTTCGCACGAGCGGCGAGATCGAGCGGGCACCGTGCGAGGGGTGCCTCCTGGGCGTCTTCGACGGGGCGGAGTACGAGTCGTGCGACGTGCGGCTGGACGCGGGGGACGTGCTGCTCGTGTACTCCGACGGCTTCGAGGTCGCCTTCCCCACGGGCAAGGCGCACCCGGCCGGCTCGACGGTGCCCAACACGCACTACCTCGACCAGTTTGCGCAGATCCCCGCGAACGCGCGGGACACGAGCCTCAACGAGGCGCTGATCGCCCTCGCGGGGGAGCTCGACGCGCACCAGGGCTCGCTCCACCAGCAGGACGACCTGACGATCGTCGGCGTCTCGCGTCTCGCCTGAGGCCCGGGGAAAGCGGATATACTCTCGTCCCCGCCGAATTCCCGGCGGAACGCGAGGGATCCGTGCCCAGCTCCACCACCGCCACCATCCACCCCGACGCGCAGGTCCACGAGACCGCGACCGTCCACCCCACGGCCGAGATCGGCGCCGGCGCGATCATCGAGCAGGGCGTGATCGTGGGGCCGAACTGCGTGATCGGCGCGCGGACGCGGTTGCGTCCGCGGGTGATCGTGGTCGAGAACGTGACGATGGGCGAGGACAACGACGTCCACCCGTACGCCGTGATCGGCGGCGACCCGCAGGACCGGGCGTTCGACGGGAGCGTGCGCGGGACGGTCGTGATGGGGAACGGGAATATCCTGCGCGAGTACGTGACGATCAACCGCTCGACGGGCCACGGTCGTCCGACGACGATCGGCGACAACAACTTCATGATGACGCAGGCGCACATCGCCCACAACGCGAAGCTCGGGAACCGGGTGACGATGGCGAACGCCGCGTCGCTCGCGGGGCACTCGACGGTGGGCGACGGGTGCGTGCTCAGCGCGTTCGTGGGGATCCACCAGTTCACGATCACGGGCGAGATGATCATGTTCCGGACGCACTCCGGCGTGAGCATGCACTGCCCGCCCTACGTCGTCGTCGCGGAGCACAACCTGATCTCGGGCCTCAACCGCGTCGGCCTGGAGCGGAACCCGAACTTCACCGACGAGGACCGCGACCAGATCAAGAAGCTGTACCGGGCGGTCTACCGCGAGCGCGGCGGGCGGAGCCTGGAAGAGACGCTCGGGCGCCTGCAGGGCGTCACGCTCGGCGCGCCGGCGAAGCGGTTCCTGGACTTCATCCAGGACGCGATCAAGCTCGACAAGCCGTACGAGCGCGGGATCGTGCGTCAGCGCTGAGCGTTCGCGCGTTGCTGATCAAAGTAGTTCGCCAGCTGGTACGCGATCGTCCGGGCGATGATGTCCGTCTCGATGTTCACGCGCTCGCCGCCGCGCATCGCGCCGAGTGTGGTCCACTCGAGTGTCGTCGGGATGAGGGCGACCTCGAACGATGTCTCCGTCGGGTTGACCGAGGCGATCGTCAGCGAGACGCCCTCGACCGCGATCGAGCCCTTGGGCACGACGGCGCGGATCTTCTCGCCCGTCGGGTCGTCGAGCTTGAACGCCATCCGGACGCCCTCGCCCTCGGGGGCGACGAGGCTGACGGTCGCGAGGCAGTCCACGTGGCCCTGCACGGTGTGGCCGCCCATGAGCGTGTCCGCGCGGGCGGCGTGCTCCAGGTTGACGCGCGCGCCCACGGCGAGCGTGCCGAGCGTCGTTTTCTCGAGCGTCTCGCGGACGACATCGAAGGCCATCACGGGGCCGCCCTCGTCCACGATCGTGAGGCAGACGCCGTTGATCGCGATGGACTCGCCGGGCCCCGGGCGGTGCGACCAGCCGTCGGGGTCGACCACGAGGCGTCGCCCCGCGGGGTGAACATCGAGTGACGCCACGCGTCCGACGTGCTGGATGAGGCCGGTAAACATTCACCTACCATAGCCCCGGCTATTCGCCGACGCCTTGACCCCGCGCGGGGAGGGCTCGATACTGCTCGGCTCGGACTTTCAGGAGGTTCCGCCCCATGCCATCCGGCTTCGCTCGACGCGCCCCCATGCTCGCGATTCTGCTCGCCGCAACGACCTTCGTGGGCGGCTGCGCCTCGGACGGGTCGTCCGCGTCGGCGGGGTCTTCCTCGTCCTCCGCGTCCGACGCGCCGGACAACCGCCCGGCGCACCGCCGCCTCGGCTTCCGCCTGGAGTGGAAATCCACCCCGGTGACCGCCCGCCGGGCGAAGATCGCGGACGTCGCGGTCTACGACGACGTGCTCGCCGTCCGCGACTCCGTGAACACGATGAGCGTCCTGGAGATCTCCACCGGCGTGAACCGATGGGCGGGCGAGGTCGCGCGTCCGCTGGACGTCGTCCACGGCATCGCCCGCACGGACGGCGGCGAGATCGCGGTCTCGACGGACATCGAGCTGCACCTCTACGACGCCAAGACCGGCACGCTCACCCAGCGCCAGGAATTCGACTTCCTGACCTCCACCGCGCCGGTGATCATCGGCCGGTACGTCGTCCTGGGCGGCGAGAACGGGCAGCTGCTCATCCATAACATGGATTCGGGCTACCGCCAGCACGCCTACGACTTCGGCGGGCGGTTCGACGTCCCGCCGATCGCCATCGGTCACTTCGTCGGCGCCGTGTCGCGCAACGGCAACGTGTACGTCATCGACCCGCACCGAGGCAGCTCCATCGCCCGAACCCGCGTCTACGCGGGCGTGAGCGCGACCCCCGACGCGAGCGAGGACGCGCTGTTCGTCGCCTCGCTCGACCAGTCGCTCTGGGCGTTCGAGACCGATTCCGGCGACACGCGCTGGCGCCTCCGGACCGAGGGCAAGCTGACCTCCTCGCCCGTGCACCACGACGGCGTGGTGTACTGCGTGATCCCGAAACGCGGGCTCTCGGCCATCGACGCCTATTCGGGCGACGTCATCTGGGAGAACGCCGACGTGCAGGCCCCGCCCGTCGTGAAACGCGGCGACCGCCTGATCGTCTGGGACGGCGCGATGGCCCACGCCGTCCAGGCCGTGAGCGGCGACATCATGGACTCCGTCGCGATGCCGGGCGTGAGCTCGATGCACACCAACAAGTTCAACGAGGGCGACCTCTACACCGTCTCGGTGCGCGACACCGAGATCCGCCGCCACCGCCCGATCAACTGACCCCCCCGCCCCCCCCGCTCCCGCCGACCCGCACCTCCAGATGCCCACCGCCACCCCGAGCGAGAGAGCCGACGTGTCCACCGCACGAACCATCCGACGCGCGCTGCTCTCCGTCTACGACAAGGCGGGCGTGGTCGAGCTCGCGAAATCCCTCGCGGAGCGCGGCGTGGAGATCATCTCCACGGGCGGGACGGCCAAGGCCATCGCCGACGCGGGCGTGAAGGTGACGCCCGTCGCGGGCGTCACCGGCGCGGACGAGATGCTGGGCGGACGCGTCAAGACGCTCCACCCCGCGATCCACGGCGCGATCCTCGCCGACCGCGACAACCCCGAGCACGCCGAGGCGCTCAAGCAGCGGGCGATCGAGCCGATCGACCTCGTCTGCGTGAACCTCTACCCGTTCGAGTCCACGGTCGCCCGCGAGGGCGTGACGCACGCCGAGGCGGTCGAGGAGATCGACATCGGCGGTCCCACGATGATCCGCGCGGCCGCGAAGAACCACGCGGGCGTCACCGTGCTCACCGAGCCGTCGATGTACACCCGTTTTCTCGCCGAGCTCGACGCCAACGGCGGCGGCACGACCGGGGCGTTCCGCCGCGAGTGCGCCCGCGAGGCGTTCGCGCACACCGCGGCGTACGACGCCGCGATCAGCGCGTATTTCCGGCGCGACGACGAGGAGCTGCCGGGTTCGCTCACGATCCGCGGCAACAAGACCGCGGACCTGCGCTACGGCGAGAACCCGCACCAGCGTGCCGGCGTCTACCGCGACCCGTTCGACCCGGGGACGTCCGTCATCACCGCGAAGCAGCTCCACGGCAAGGCGCTGAGCTACAACAACGTCTCGGACACAGACCGGGCGCTCCGCATCGTGCAGGACCTGCTCGCGTCGTTCCCGGAGCGCCACGGCGCGACCGTCATCAAGCACACGAACCCCTGCGGCGCCGCCATCGCCCCGGACTCGCCCCGCGCCATCGGCGCGGCGCTGGACGGCGACCCGCTCGCGGCCTACGGCGGCATCCTCTGCGCCAACACGCCCGTCACGGAGGACGCCGCGCGGGTGATCCTCGATTCGGCGCGCTTCCTCGAGGTCATCGCCGCGCCGAGCTTCGAGGGCGAGGCGGCGAAGATGATCGGCGAGAAGTGGGCGAACGTCCGACTGCTCGAGCTCGGCCCGGTCACCGCGCCCTCGCCGGCGCTGGACTTCCGCCCGGTCCGCGGCGGCATGCTCGTGCAGGACCAGGACAGCGCCCTCGTCCGGGTGGAATCGTGGGAGCACACCGCGGGACCGGCGCTGGACGCCCTGCGGCTCGAGTGCGCCGCGTTCGTCTGGACGATGGTCAAGCACCTGACGTCCAACGCCATCGCCATCGCGCTCGCGGACCGCGAACGCGAGGACACGTGCTACCTCGCCGGATCCGGCGCGGGGCAGATGGACCGCGTCGCCGCCTGCCGCGTGGCGCTCTCGAAGGTCAAGAGCGGCGTGAAGGACCACGGCGTGGCGGCGTCGGACGCGTTCTTCCCCTTCGCGGACGGCCCCGAGCTGCTCATCGGCGCGGGCGTGGACGTGATCGTCCACCCCGGCGGCTCGAAACGCGACAACGAGACGATCGAGCTGTGCAACCGTTGCGGCGTGTCGCTCTACGCGACGGGCGTGCGTCACTTCCGGCACTGAGTCGTCACGGGAATCTCTGTATCAGCACGGGAACCGGCCGACGGCTTTTTTTTCGCTGCACGCCGCGGATGGGGCTTGACGGATTTTATTATGATGTTACTCTAGAGTCACATTGCAAATCCACCCGCCCCGTCGTGGGGCCGCGTGGCCCTCCCCGGGGCGGGCCACCCCGTTGCAGGAGCATCCATCATGCGACTCACCTCCAGGATCTTCGCCGCGTGCGCGGCGGGAACGCTCGCGCTGAGCGGCCTCGCGTTCGCCGCCCCCGCCGCCGACGCCCCGGCCGCCGCCGGATTCCCCATCCCCCTCCCGGGCGGCCAGCTCGCGGGGCAGGTCGCCGACAAGGGCGGCGCCCCTGTCGCCAACGCGCCCGTGATGCTCTCGCGGAAAGGCGTCGTGATCATGATCGCCGTGAGCGATGCGTCGGGTGTCTTCGATTTCGGGCGCCTCGCACCGGGTTCGTACACCGTGAGTTCGGGTCCCGCGTCGAGGGACGTGAGTATCTCGTCGCACGCGGTCTTCGTGACGCTCATCGCGTCGTAACACCGATTCTCGTGCCCCCACGAGCGGGCCGGCCGCCCCGCGTTGGGCGGCCGGTCTGCGCGCGCGGTACGTTCACCCAAAGAGCCCGCCCCATGACCGATCCACTGAACAACCCGGAACTGATCTCGATGGACGTCTCCGCGTCCGTCGACCTGCTCGCGGCACGTGAACGCGTGTTCCGGATCTACGTGAACCACATCGACCGATGGCTCCGCGGCTACCCCGAGGGCCAGGGCCTCGACCTGATCATGGAGCCCTACGCCGGCGGGCGCGTGTACCGGGACCTGCCGGGGGGCGCGAGCGTGTGGTGGGGCACGGTGCAGATCTACCGCCCGCCCGAGCGCGTCGACTTCGCGGGCCCGCTGTTTGTCGACGGCCCGAGTCTTTCGCACGTGCGCACCGATTTCATCGAACTCGACGAGCGCACGACGCGCGTGCGCGTCCACCACCGGACAATCGGCGAAACGCCCGCGCACGCCGATCTCGCCCACAGCGCCTGGACGTTCCACCTGGAGAACCTTGTAAAACGGGTAGCCGAAGCGTGAGCGGCGACGAGCGCACGACGGATCTCCACGACGAGCTCGAGCCCGTCTGCCGCGCGATCGCCGAGCCGAAGCGTCGGCGCATGCTCGACCTGCTCAAGGACCGCCCGCGCACGACGGGCGAGCTGGTCGAGGCGTTCCCCGAGATCTCGCGGTACGCGGTCATGAAGCACCTGAAAGTGCTCGAAGAGGCGGACCTGCTCGTCGTGCGATACGACGGCTCGACGCGCTGGAACGCACTGAACCCCGTTCCGCTCAAGCGGCTCTCTGACCGGTGGGTGAGCGGCTTTGCGGGGATGTGGGCGGGCGGGCTCGAGCGGCTCCGCGAACTGGCGAGCGATGATCTCGTGGAATGAAGCGACACCGGGATTCCACGGCCGTTCGGGACCCATTCGGTCCGCATACAAACAAAAAACTGACACCCAATCGATTGCCCCGTTCCCGGGGTCGATATACCTTTCCACGGAAGGTTCCCAACGTTTGCGGCTCCAGGAGGTGAGCGCTATGGGAAACAAGGCGAGGAAACGGGCTCAGAAGGCCGCGAGGAAGGCCCCGGCTGTCACGCCCGCTGTCGCCGCCGCCGCGGCCGCGCTGCCGGCGGGGCTGAACGCGAAGGTCCTCGTCCTGAACAAGCTGTACATGGCGATGCGCGTGGTGTCCGCGAAGCGGGCGCTGACGATGCTGGCGTGCGACATCGCGGAGGTCGTGCACGTCGACGACGGCCGGTACATGAACTACGACTTCGAGTCGTGGGCGGAGGTCTCCGAGCTCGCGCGCGAGTTCGAGCCGGACGACCACGACTGGGTCCGCACGGTCTCGTTCTCCATCGCGGTGCCGAAGGTGATCCGCGTGCTGAGCTACGACCGCATCCCGCGCCAGCAGGTGAAGCTCAACCGCCGGAACCTGTTCGCGCGCGACCGCAACCAGTGCCAGTACTGCGGCCACTCGTTCCCGACGAGCGAGCTGTCGATCGATCACGTCACGCCCCGCTCCCAGGGCGGCGGCGATACGTGGAAGAACCTCGTCTGCGCCTGCGTGCGGTGCAACGCCAAAAAGGGCGGGCGCACGCCGAACCAGGCGAACATGCACCTCATCCGCAAGCCGATCCGCCCGAAGTCCAACCCGCTCATCACGCTCCGGCTCGGGAACGAGAAGTACGAGACGTGGAAGGCGTTCCTGGACGAGGCGTACTGGTCGGTCGAGCTGCGCTGACTCAGCCGCGTCGGCGACGCGTCGCGACGAGCCCGGCCAGACCCGCGAGCGCGGCCGCGCCGGGTGTCGGGACCGCGCTGGCGCTGGCCTCGAAGCGGCGGATCTCGACGCGGGCGTTGCCCGTGCCGGTGCCGTCGCCGATCTCCGTGCCGTCCGCGAGGCCGGTGCTGAAGAAGCCGCCGGTGTACACGCTCGAACCGTCGATCAGCAGCTCGTAGGTCCCCGCGTCGAGGTCTCCGATCAGCGTGTAGGTGTGCCAGTCGGAGGTGTCGAACGACGCGCCGCCCACGCTCCCGGTGGCGTAGACGCCGTCCATCAGGCCGACGCTCATGCCCATGCCGTTGAGGTTCATGCCGGCGATGAAGCCGTAGTTGAACTGCACAACCTGCGACTCCAGCACGCGCGCCTCGATCTCGAGCGTCATCGTCCCCGTGGTGATCGCGAAGCCGGAGAGGTCGTTGCGGTAGAGGTTCGAACCGGGCGAGAAGCCGAAGGGCTGGCCCATCGTGTCCGACGTCAGCACGGCGCCGTCGACGGAGAAGACGTCCGTCTCCGCGATGCCGTTGCCGAGGCCGACGGTCCCGTAGGTGTAGCCCTGCGCCGAGGGCAGGGCGTCGAAGGACAGATCGACCAGGTTGCCGCCGGCGAGGGCCGTGGCGGACGTCATCGCGGTCGCGAACACACACACACGCGTGAAAATCATTCTCTGGCTCCTCTTGCCTTGATGTTCTCTCTCTCGTGGCGGGCGACTCGTGCGGATCGCCCGCGGACTCCTGAACAGGGGAATATACGTGACGCCGCCCGAAGATCAAGCATCTCATCGGAGAATCGAACGATCCGATCACCGACCGATAAAAGCGCACGAGACACGCCCCATGACCACCGCCACCAACATCGACACCCTCTTCTCCCCCACCACCATCGGCCGGCTCACGCTCCGCAACCGCGTCGCCATGGCCCCCATGACCCGCCGCTTCGCCGGGGCGGACCGCGTCCCGACGGACGCCATGCGGGACTACTACGCCCGCCGC